TGCAAGTGTTGCAAAATTTTTGGGTGGAAGGTTTTCTTTCACAATTACCTGCTTCACACACAAATCAAATCAAATATATTTTGAAATAAGTTATAACATTTCAATGAAATTTACAATAGTACAAGTATTAATATAAAGTAAATACCTGAATATACAACGTAACATTGTAGGCAATAATAAAAGTAGTAATAGTATTAATACCTGATATCAATTATAATGATATAAATTCCAATAATATTATTTTTATAGTAGTAACAATAACAACAATAATAATAGAAGAGTTCCTTTAATAAAGATAAAAATAGCAACAACAAAAACTTAGTTAAAAAAAAGAAATAAATAAAGAACTTCCATATTTTTGTGCTAACAGAATGGAAAATTAAATAAAAGTATTAAAAACAGCAGTTTGAAAACCAGAGAAAGTAGATATAGATGGATAAACTAAAAATTTGAAAGCGTTTAAAATTTTAAATTAAAAACTGAAACAAATTGATAGATATAATAAATAATTTCAATATTTAATGATAGAAATATTTGATTGTATTATTTTTAACAAACAATTGAAAAGCCTTATTTTTAATTCAGAGATTGTGTAGGTTGTTCAACAAGCAATACATTGATATTTGATAAATTTATTTCCTTATTATACTATACTTCCCAGCTAGCACACTTACATCGGGCATTAACTTATCTAAATACATTGCGAACGTCGACTATTTTCTCGGATTCAAATATAGCGTTAATTCAATGTTAGTTTTATCGTATTTATATTTATGAAAATCTTAATAACAACGTGATTAAAAATAGCAAAATTACATTGGTCAAACATATGTAAAAACATCGCAAAATTTGGATGTTTTTCCAATCTAAACCCAACGTTGATCAAATTTATAAGGATTAACGTTGATCCATTGTATGTTGTTCAACGTTGATCCAATATTTATAACGTTACGTTAATCCAATGAGTATGAATTAACTTTAGAATATATATACATTGAATCAACGTTGATCCATATATATATATATTGGAACAACGTTGGATTCTATACAGTGGATCAACTTTGTGTTTGCATCTAGAAAAGGCAGATACTCAAATATATATTTGTATAATTTAAAAGAACTATTTTAATCAAATATAAATAATGGTTTTCGAATCAGATATGATTTTACTTTCTTCTTCTAACTTTTACTTTAAAATATCTTCGTTCTTTGCAAACTCACTTTAAATAAATATTTATATTGAAGTGATGAATACTCATGAACATTATTATTTCTTACTTTATTCAAATATAATAAGCAAACAATTTGTAGAGCTTCTTATCCCTAAATTAAAAATAAGATTAGATTGTTTAGAATAAATTAGAGTCTAATGTTGTTATATCAAACAAAAACAATAAAAACTGACAAGAGCGCGATTGCCTGCAATCAGTTGTAGTAATTTTAATTAAATAACTTAATAAATATATTTAATTAAATATATTTTAAATAATAGTTAAACTTTAAATAATAATTAATAATAATTAAATAAGTTTAAATAAATATATTTAATTAAATATATTTATTCTGTCTATAGACAGAATAAATGGCAGACAACTGAAAGCAAAACGACTGATAATCAAATAATTAACAAGTTTCAGGTGCGCCATTTTAATTCATGGAAGTTAAAAAGCTCTTTTCGCAACAATCTACCCTTCTAAATGCTAATAAATCAATGGACTCCAATTTAAAGTTTTTTTAATTTACAGTTAAAAAAATATGAGTTACTGATCTCTTGTTATGAAAGTCCTACTGCAAGAACTTTTTTTGTAAGTTTTATAAACAGTTCATTTTGTAAACGCTAGTATGATTGTGTAACAGTAGGTATTCATATTTTCTTTTCTATAATCAAGAGGTTTACTTACTTTATATTTATTTATTTATTTTAGATGCATTTTAGCTTAATTTAGTTACTTTTGCTGAAGAAAGTAGGTGGAACAGAGCTGGTAAAAACCACTGCATATGTTATATCGCAACGTTACTAGTTTTTTAATGTCAAAAAAAGACATAGATGGTACATAAAATTTTTGGAAAACTTCCATTTAGAAAATTCTCTATAAGTAAATCTGTTTTTGTGTAATTCCAATTTTGATTTATAAACGTGCATTTAAAAGGCTAACTTATTTACCCTAGATTTTGGCGGTTACAAATCAGGTCACAAAAACAGATGATCAGGACGATTGTAGAAGATGATGTTGCACAAAAACAGGTGCATGATAAACAAGCGGTAGACGGCATACAACGAAGATTTTTGATAAAACATAAACCAGAGAAAATAGTGATCCAAAAAATTTATTTATGAGTTTCTTAATTTTATTAATAATTTTCAACTTAATCTTAATGTAAATTTTTATTTTCTGCTAACGAGATTAAATTAAAAAAAATATTTGATAGAAATTGTAATAATTTCCACTGCAAAAAGCTTGATTATTTAATTTTTTTTTAATTATCAAAGCATAAACAAGTATAGTGAACAAAACATTTTTTCTCCAAATCCCCACTAATATTAAAACATTTTATATATGCTTATAACTTTTTATTTAGTTATATAATGTAAAAGTATAGTATAAGTAGTATAGTATAAAAGTTTACAAAAATATTATAAGTTACAAAAAATATAAAAAATAAGACCTGATCTTTTATAACTATATTTTATTTATTAATTTAATTGCTTTTATAATTATATCTTATTTATTAATTTAATTGCTTTTATAACTAATCTTTTTTATAAATTTCAAGACCTATATAGCTCTTATTATTTAAATATAAAGTTAAAAAGTTATAACGTGATTTTAATATATAGATGTTTTAAAACTTAAATAAATTGAAATTACGTTAACTAAATCAAAGAAACTAAAACAAGATCTAAAAGTTTAATATACGTATATATTATAATATACGTGGGTATATATATATATATATATATATATATATATATATATATATATATATATATATATATATATATATATATATATATATATATATATATATGTATATATATATATATATATATATATATATATATATATATATATATTACATACATATATATATATATATAATATATATATATATATACATTATATATATATATATATATATTATATATATATATATATATATATTATATATATATATATATATATATATATATATATATATATATATATATATATATATATACCCACGTATATTATTAGATCAGCGAAATATCGAAATAATTATATATTAGAGAAAAAATATATATATATTTAAAAAAAAGTTTATACGCAGCCGTATTTATTGAATTCTAACCATATTTTAACGTATAACAAGAAAATAACATTCAAAGATTATATATATATATATATATATATATATATATATATATATATATATATATATATATAATATATATATATATATATATATATATATATAATATATATATATATATATACATACATATATATATATATATATATATATATATATATATATAACCGTTAAATATATATATTAACGGTTGGTCATTTTTCAACTTTTTATGTATAATAGGGTCAGTCATTTTTCAAATTTTTCCAGTAAATGCTTAGGCCATATGATTTTTAAATGTTTTGGCCCTTATATAAAAGTATTCCGAAAAAAAAAAAATTGATTTTTGGTTTTCAAATTTTGACCTAAAAAATCGAGGTTTTGGGTAAAAAACGCTATATACGTCGTTTGCCGCAATTTTTGACCGGTTGCTCCGATTGACTCAAAAACATCTATTATGGAATCCTCAATCCCAAATATTCCTAATTAGACACCTAAATAGTCATTTTAGCCTAAAAACTTAAAATTATAAAAGTTTACAAAAATTGTTACTTTTGATATATTTTGCTGGAATATCTTGCGTAGTTATAACAAGATGTCTTGGTTAAACTTAAATTCATTTAGTAGATTATATGAAAAAACTTATGAAATATCATTCATAAGTTGCTGCATTTAAATTGCCGCATTTTAAACCGTTACTTTAGCATCTGAATTTGCTGCACTTTAAATACTGCATTTGAGTTTTTTAGATTCTGAGTTACCCACATTAAGAGATATTATAAAGTATGGTCTGCTTCTAAGAAGAGATGAAAACTGCAAAGCAAATGCAAAATTTAAAGATAGATGCAAAAAAGTTTTCTCTAAAGTGAAATTTCTATTTTGACAGACAAAGTAGGTGTTAATAAAAGAATAAAAGTATGGAAAAAAGCTACCGATATTATTAACTACAGGTGTAAGCCTGAAACTATTTATAAGTTTAACTCTACTCTGGACAAGCTATTTGATATAGCAAAGTGCAAGTGTGACATTGTTTCTTGTGAAGAGGCAAGTTGTAATTCTTGTAATTTTAAAGCGCATATTTCTTGTCAATGCAATAGAGAAAACAAAATTCCTACAATATAACTTCAGTTTATGAAATTTGAAAGAGAAAAATTTGGAACAAAAAGTAGTATGCAAATGGGTGTTCCGGATTTTAAAGAAACCGATAGACAAGAAAAAAATGATAAAAGAAAGGCCACTGGAAAAAAGAAGCTATAGTTATAATACCTAAATTTTTTCATTCCCAAGAAAATGAAATCAAAGAAATAATTGATAATATTGCAAATACTGACAATGAAGATGTTGTTTCTGACAATTGTTTTGAGTACAAGTTTTGAAAAAGATATTGAATATGGAAGAAGTTGCATTAGCATTTCAAAATTAGCATTGAAAGCAGCTAAAGATGCAGGGTTTCTTAAAAAGAAAGTGTTTGACAGTGAAATAGTGACAAATCATAAGAAAATTGAAAGATCTAAATTGAAGGTGATGAAACAATTAAAATCTGAAAATGATAATATTGTAAAAGATAGAGTTCAATGTATTTTATTTGATGAAAGAAAGGGTTAGACAAAATGTTTTTTGATGGGAGAAGATAGAAAATTTCATCTCAATCTTGTTCAAGAAGATTA